AATATATCCTTTATTTTCTCAGGTAAAAATTACAAAATGAAGGGTTATGCTTGAACTCTTATCAGATACTTACATGTGCGTATTATCAGGGTGATTTGTTTTCTGTTTATGAGCTTTGCCAAAACTACCGGTGGACTATAGAAGATGAAAAGGTATTCTTTCATATTCTTGCTACACGTAAATCATTCCATGACACGTATATTATGTCATCAAATTACAAAATTGTCTGTTTTCGTTGTCTAGGTTTTGAGCTTTTATTTAGAGCACTTCACTGGTGAGAAGTATGGTTCTCAGTTGGAACCTTCAGAAAAGATTCAATTCCCTAGCCATATGAGTGAGGAAGAGCTTGGTTTTATCAAAGTCATATCTGGAAGGTATACATTGTTTTCTATTTCTGTCGTTATAACCCATATATGCTTTGCCATCTTCATTTACAAAAAAATACCTGTGGCTTCTTCTTATTAGCATTTGTCTTTCAATTTTCAGATTTGCAGGGAGAACAAACGTTGCAGTCTCGTTCTCATGTGAATTTATATCTTCTGGTTCCAAATCATGGAGAAGAGTTTACAATGCATCTGTATCAATATCGGTGGTGCCTGATCTCCCTCTTGCTCTTGGAGTCCCAATAACCTGGGTTCTTCCTCCTCATTATACTACAACAAGTATTTTGCCTTCATCTTCAGAATTGCATGGCCAAAGGGATAGTCAGAGTCATAAAGGAACTATTATCTATTCCTTATTAAAAAATCTCCCTGAAAAGAATGACGGTGTGCAAAAGGATGCTATTTCCATCGATGGAGACAGAATCAAGACATCAGAGAGTAACAATCTTGCATGCATTCAGGCAAAAGATCGTATGACGGGTAGAAGTGAGATTGCTGCTTGCGTCAAAGTTGCTGAGGTATGAATATAATCTCTGCTGATTGAAAACTATATATAAGGTAGCAGGTTTTGTTCAAATACTACTCACAAACAAGAAAAAGGTATAACATCTAAGAGAAAAACATATTACAAATTTTGGTCAGGTGTCTCAAATAAGAATTACGAACAAGGAGTTACCATTTCATGGGATCAATCTTGCTGTTGGTGCTGAAATTTCTCTTCCAGTAGTCTACCTTGATGTGCTAGGTATCAATGATTCAGTTATTTAATCAATATTGGTACTTGATACGTTTCAAACTTATTCTAAGTCTTGTGTTTTTTCTTGGACCAGGAAACCCTTTCTATGAAGCACACGGTGCCGTTCTCTTTGATATGGCAACCAACTCTCCTGATGTTGTGTCCATAAACAACAGCAGCAACACGCATGTTGGCAGTGGAAATATCCATCTCAAGGTTTGCTTCACTCAAATAACTCCGTGCAAGAAGCTGTGATAAGGATTTCTTCTCTTTGTCTTTCAAAAAGGAAATATAGTATTCATCAAGCAACATGCATTTGAATAGACAAGATCTAGACTAGTGAAAGGACAGCAGTATATTTTAGTATTCGTTTGATTTTCCTGAGCCGTAGACTGACTCCTGTTTTCTAATTTCTGGTTGAAGGCGATGCGACATGGTAGAGCGCTTGTGCGAATATCCATCCATCGTATGCCTCAGAAGTCGGACTATATCCTGGTAGAGCTCTTGTGATATTTGTTTTCATTAAACTGCTGTGTGCTTGTTTAAGATCAACTGAATACTTGATTTCTTCAGGTATCAGTGGGTGCTCATATACATCCTCAAAACCCAGTTCTTCGAACAGGAAGCCATCTTAACTTCAGCATTGAAGGTAAGTTATGGTAAAAATTTACTTTGAAATCCATTTACTATATATCGTGTAGGCAAGTTTCCCCCTCCCGCTCACCACCCACAATGTTTACAATTTTTGCCTTGGTGGATAGGCTTAAATGATGAAATTTCTGGCCGTTGGAGAACTGCAAATGGAAGTGTCATATCTGTATCCCCATTGTCTGGGGTGGCTGAAGTAATTGGGGAAGGTACAACTCAAGGTAAACAACAATTTTGTGTTTTGTTGAATCTACCGTTCTAGACAAAATTTTGTAAACTTATCCTATCCCTGTAATTTTTTGTGAATAATATATGATGACACAAGATTTCATTCGCTGTTTCATTTTGTGATCAGTATATTTTGAAGCTTCAAGTTTGAAGCTGCGAACAACAGTTATAGTGCCAACAGAGGATATTGTTTCCGTGGATGCTCCAACTGAGACACTAACAAATGTTCCTTTCCCAACTAAAGGATATAACTTCTATGTGAAGATCAGGTTTGTATTCATGAATGCTCTATATGCATTACTTGGTTGTTCAATTATGCTTTCCGGGACAGAAGAACACAAGTAATAATTCTGTAGGAGAAGACTAATGTTTTCATTTTTTCCATTTGATTCCAAAGCAGTACTGACAACGAGTTTAAGGCGCTTGGAAACACCAAGGAACTCCAGTATGACTGTAGAGTTGACCCGCCTTTTGTTGGGTACAACTCTTTTGTTCTAGCCTCACTTGTTTATAAATATGCTGAATAATTGTTTTCATGTGCTAATATTCCTTTTCTCGTCATGAACTAAAGGTACGCAAAACCATGGTTAGATCTTGATACCGGTAGCTCATACTGCCGCTTTTTTCCTTACTCACCGGAGCATTTGGTTCGTTTGGTACCCAAGTCAAAGGATATGAAATCAGATATATCTGTTTCCATCAAAGCTTCACTGAGAAAAGCAGATCATGTTTCCGGATCTGCTTCTGCTCTTTTTGTTGGAGGGTTTTCCATTTTAGAGATGGGCAAGGTAGCAACATATCTCGCAGCATGTATTTCGTATTCTTCTGAAACATTGTCGTATAGTGCACCTATAAGTTTTTATACCGGGAGTCCCCTTGAACGAGATCATAATGTTAATAGTCTTTGATGTGGCTGTTTCTGGAAATGTTTCAGGATTCAATGCAGTTGAAGCTGACCCCAGACTCTAACAAGACTACCATAACAATCCTGGGAAACACAGGTAAGACCTAAGAAGACTGCGCTTTGGCCATCTCTCTCTCTCCTCTTGCTCTGGACTCTGACATCATCGGTTGATTTCTTCTAATTGTAGATGTTGAAATCTATAGGCATGAGCGGGATTCTTTACACATTACTCCCATCCATAAAGAAGGTTCTGGGATCGGTGGGCGTGCAAAATATGAGGTGAGTACTGGTAAAACTTGTCCTTTAGGATGGTGAGTGAAAGTTTGAATTTGAAAATGTTAAAAAGTTACATATAAGCGTTTCCTTGGTTCCAAATCGTATTTCCTTAACAGAGTCCATCCGATTGACACAACAGTTTGATTTCATTTTAGTATATTGAATTTTGACATCTTTCATGGATTATGTAACTTGTCCATTTCAGGTCAAAATGCTAGGATCCAAGAGATTCAAAGATACAATTTTCATTACACTTCCAGCCAATGGTGAGTCTTTTTTTTCCCTAAATCTTCGTATTACACTCCAGAAGAAATTTTACAAGAAGTGATTGAAGCAGAGAAGGTGAATCTTTAGGTACTCTCGAACAAGATTCTATAAAATTTTATATCGTGTATGCAGGACAGAGTGTGGAAATTGATGTCAACGGTGACCCTGGAGATAAAACGCCATCTGAAACTACCTTCGATCGTCCACTTTGGCTAATGGTGATTGCATATATTGCAATCGTGCTTGGATGTCTTGTTATATTGGGTTGGATGGTGGCTTGCATCATATGTTATTGGGCGGACGAACTGGATAGATCTCGAAGATCCATTAACGCTCCAGCTACTCCAAGCACTGCAGGCCCAGCCACACCCGAACGTACTAGCAGTCCAGCTGCTGCGAGCGAACAGTCTCCTCGAACACCTCAGCCGTTCATAGATTACGTTAGAAGAACAATAGACGAAACTCCATATTACAGGCGAGAGCCGCGGAGGAGAGTTAATCCACAGAATACGTTCTAGTTTCTTGGACCAGCGTTTAGAGGTTAGCTAGGGAACTCTCTCACTCGGAAAGATGGACCATGTAACGATGTAAACTCAAGTCCTTATGTGACTCTGTTGAGAGCCAAACAAGGCATTTCTTGACCAAATTTTGGTGTATTTCATGTACATTGGTTCAGTTAGTGTATTTATACGATGTATTTCTACGGTTTAAGTAATCGGTTAGGATTTTGAAGCCTAAGATTATCCTGTGATGTTCTTTTGTTCATGCCAAAAGTAGGTGATTGCATGGGAAATTTCTGTTTGACGAAGATATCCAAACGTTTTCCACTACGTTTTTTTCTCATTTTTTCTAACTTGACTCTTATGCTTTTCCTCACCGCCAACTCCTTTCACTTTGTTACAACTTATAACTCGAGCAACGAAGAGTATCGGTATGAAACTTCAAATCTACTTTTTCAATATTACTTGTGTGACAAAAATCGTACACGACTAAAGTTTTACTCTTTTTTAAAATAAGTGTGATTTCACATCGAGATAACAAATCTTTATACCAAACATGTCCTAATCTTGTAACAATTTCATTAGAAACCTAACATTATGTTTGGATGAGGGAAATAAACTTGGAATTTGAATAAAAGTCAGAATTTATAAATTGACATGCACAAATTCCCTTGTTTGGATTTATAACATAGAAATTTAGAATTTCCAAGTTTAAATAGGCATCATTTCCCAATTTCTATGATTGGGAGTTTAAAATTAACAATTCTGTTTTCAATTCAATTGTTCTTTTAAGTTAACCAAACAACAAAATTCATAAATTTTAGAAAATAAAATCTCTTTATTTTAATTTTCGTCATTTTAAAATTCCTTAATAATCTTAAATTTCTTCATCTAAACATAATATAATAGTTAAGTTCATGTCTGTCACCCGGCGTAACGGATTTTAGAATTCGATTTAAATTCCTCATAAATATATCGGACGCACCTAATTGGAGATTTATTTCTTCCTTAAAAAGGGAAAAAAAATAAAAAAAATAAAGAACACATATATATTTAATTCGTGGGAGTTGAGAGGTTTAAGATCCTCGGCAGCCAACCCTTCTTACTTCCTCTTCTCTGTCTACTTTCTAGGGCTCAAACTTCTTCTTCGCTCTCTGTACTTCCTCCTTTCAGAATCCGATACCCCCATGGATTTTCGGACCAATGACCCCAACCTCGAAGGCGAAGCTCAGGACAATAACCAGCCAGACCACAGACACGAGACGGCGGAGGATGACGACTACGGCAGGTCCCAGCCTCAAACTGGCGACGGCGCCAGCCCCGGGTAAGCTCTCTTTGTCCTCTAATTTTAACTCCGTTTGGTTCCCGAGAAAATTTAGGGAAAACCCAGTTAAAAAACGACTCTCAGCTTAGCTATTTTTCTGTAATTCCGTAGGAAAATCTTTATAGGGGGTTTGGCAAGAGAGACTACTACAGGTAGGAATTTCAATTTTCGTTTCTGCTGAGTTGATTACTGTGATTTTGTAGTTTTTAGGGTTTCTGATTGGGGATCTGTTTCTGGTAATGCAGCGCAATTTATAAAGTATTTTGGTGCGTACGGTGAGATTATAGATTCGGTGATAATGAAGGACCGGAAGACGGGGCAACCCCGTGGTTTCGGGTTTGTGACGTATGCAGACCCCTCTGTGGTTGATAGAGTCATTGAGGAGACTCATGTTATCAATGGCAAACAAGTAGGTATTTTCAAGCTGTATGCTTCTTTTGTTTGTAAAAAAGGAGCTTGCTTTATAAATTTTTTTCATACTTTGTAGGTCGAAATCAAGCGAACAATACCCCGGGGAGCAATGGGGTCTAAGGATTTCAAGACTAAGAAGATATTTGTGGGTGGAATTCCAACAACCGTAAATGAAGGTGCCCTTTTTTGGTTGCTTTTACCCTTTTCCGTTTCTAGTTTTTCTTTGAGCATAGTTAATGAGGTACTTACATGTTCTTTGTAAATGGGCAGAGGAGTTTAGCGACTTCTTTTCACAGTACGGAGAGGTTAAGGAACATCAGATTATGCGGGACCACTCCACCGGTCGCTCCCGTGGATTTGGATTTGTCACCTTTGACACAGATCAAGCGGTTGATGAACTCTTGGACAAGGGGAACAAGCTTGATTTTGCTGGAGCTCAGGTGAGTTGTCTACTGATAAAAGGCTGTGCTTACATTTTTCTGTGCCCTTATATGCTTTATGATTATGCCACATGGAGCGAATTCTGAAATAGTTATCATATGCATTATCTGTTGTAGTTTAGAATTATGGTGTGTCGAATTTTGCAGTGTTTATTAGATGTGTCGTCTCATCTGTCAATCAAGTGTTTGCTTCCTGTTTAATTTTCTGCTTTTGCTGATCTATGTGGAATAATGGTTTCGTAATGGGTTGCACTAAATTGTTGGTTGGTTTAGTAGTACCTGCATATTACTTAAATGTTCTTATTGCAATAATTACCAAAAAAAGGTTTATATTGCTTTATTCACTTTTGAAGTGATGAATAAAGAAACCATGACACAATACGCTTGACTAAGCAAAACTGAGGTGGAATTCACTTATGTACAAGAAAATAGTTTACATGTACTTAGTAGGTCTGGCCATATGGTAAATGCATCTTTGATCATTCAAGAAGCTTGATAATTTAGATTCATCTGTTATTTCTTGTAGGTGGAGATAAAAAAGGCAGAGCCAAAGAAGCCAAACCAACCTGCACCACCATCGAAACGTTATAATGATTCTAGACCTGCATATGGTGGTGGGTATGGAGAAAGCTATGGTGGATATGGAAGTGGCAGTTATGGTGGTGCTGGTGCTTATAGGTCAGCTGCTGCCTATGGTGGTAGAGGGAGTGCTTATGGAGGATATGGTGGCAGTGAATTTGGCGGATATGGAGTATATGGCGGTGGCAGTGGTGGTGGTGGTATAGGGGCTTATAGGGGAGAATCCTCCATGGGATATTCAGGCCGTTACGGAGGAGCCTACAGCAGAGGTTATGATATAGGAGGTGGTTATGGTGGAGCTGGCGAGAGTTATGGGGGATATGGAGGTGCTGGCGGGGCAGCTGGTGGCGGTGGTTATGGGAGTGGCTATGATGCAGGTTTTGGAGGTGGCTACGGAGGTGGTAGTGGAGCTTCCTTTTACGGTAGTAGAGGAGGGGGATATGGTGGTGCAGGTAGTGGTCGATATCATCCATATGGGAGGTAGGAGGTTTGTTGTATCACAGGACGAACGAACTCTGCAGCCAAAAAATGAGAACCTAACCTTGTAGCTCTTGCCTTCCAAGTCTACAGGCTTATGTTTTCAGTTTCTTTCGTGGTCTCATTTCGCTCTCTCGTTCGGTCTTTTGCACCGCCGGCAATGGAGCCCGGGCAACCTTGTGTCAAAGATGTTCCATATAATTGTTTGTCGAATTCTTTTTATTTCTTTGCTGCCCTTTTTTGTACGGGGACTGTGAGATTAAAGGGACCTGGCAATCGACATTAACGGTCTGCACATTGGTGCAGATGTTTGCATTCCCGCACTGCTTTTTATTCCTTGTGACGGCATAGAGATAGTGCCATAAGTTATTTTCTTCAGTTATTTTTCGCAAAATCCGTTGTTTGGTTAGCCATTTTCGTTATTACTTTCCTAGTACAAAGCATTTTCATTAAAAGCACACGAGCAAGGGTTGGTTTGGTATTGATGTGCTTTTAAAAAAAAAAACTGTTTCTGCTATGTTGTGATAATAAGTTCATTTTTGTTGCTTTATGTTTTCAGTTTTTTTTCATCCAAAACTGTGAAAATAAGTTGTTTTTAAATGTTTACCAAACATCTTTTTGAGCTCAGCTTTTTTTTTATATCCATTTTTTATAAAAGTACCTTAGTACCAAACCAGCTCCAAGTCCCCTTGACACTTCTTGACTCTTTCGCCCCCAGGATTTGTGGGATCACCCTACAATTTATGGTTGCATCTGACCCATTGGAGATGCTCTTACAACTTTTTCCATGAGTTTCTAGTTTTTGTTTGGTAAGCATGTCGGTTGTCTTCCATCTTTTGTGATGCTTCTACTTCTTGGGCTATGCCCTTTGTCAATACAGGCTTTTAGTTATTCCCTTCGATGCATAATATTTTTAAAACCTAAGAAAATAATTAAACAACTGATACCAATTAACTGTTGGTTTAGTTATACTTCTCGTAGTATTGATGAAATGTCTTAAATTCAAATCACTCATTTTCCGTTAACTAAAAAAAAGGCATGGCATTTTGTTACTGATAAAACAAAACAAAATTTTAACATCGTGTTATCAGGGTGAAAAGGTTTTGACTCAAAAGCCGCTGGCATGGACTTTGGCATGGTTAACGGTATGTTAGGAGGTGCTTTTGAAATGACTAAAAACGTTCTTTGTAAAAATGTTTATGGAAATAATTTTTAGTAAAAATGTAAGTAAATTTTAGGAAAGCACTTTCGTAACCCAAAAATATTATCTAAAAATGTTTTCAGTTATTTTAAAAACACTTCCAAATGAGCAATGTGTTTTTACTCTGTGTTCAAGTTCGAATATTTCTCGCATTGCTTGGAATGATATTAGAATGGAAAATGTTATGGAGATCATATTTTGTAAACCATATAATGTGGATTTAATAGTTAGATACCTTTTTTAACGATTTAAACAATAAATTTAACTATCAATCGTCATATCATATAATCTATATAATATTATTCAAATAGATAGCCTTTCTAGCATCGAATCAAAAATCCGAATTTTCTGATAAAAGTTACTAAAGGGGAAGGGTATTGGTAAAATATATAAAAATTGTGGTGTCCGATTGTAAATAAACTGAACTCGGTGGTGCCTGTCAAATTGACCCAAAATGAAAAAAAAAAAAAAAACTAAAGAAAAATTCAAAAAAACTTTTAATTTTAATAAAAATATCAGACAAATATATATCAAAGAAATATAAAAATGTAATTTTTCGCTAAAATTCTCAACAAATAAAAATAGAAATTATTCTTCTGGTAGGCGTGCCTTTTCTCCGAGCTGGTGTGCGTCTAGTATTAGCCACAGATAGAGAAGGCGCGCGCGAAAGAGAGAGAGAGAGAATGGCGATGGTGTCCTCGAATCTGGGCTTCAGTCCACGTCCAAAGGTGCACACAGATTCATGGATTTATTTTTTTTAATTTATTTTTCTATAAATTTATATTTTCTGTCGCCATTGTTTGTTCTTGTAGTTGCTTCAAGTCTCCTGCAGAAAGAGAGAGAAGAATCGAGATAACTACGACCCTTACAAAGTCATCGAAATTACTCCTCCGCCCAAGAGCCTCGGCGTTCGTTGCTTCCCCTCCGTAAGTCCTTTCACTTTTGCGAAAAAATTATTAATCTTTTTTCTGCGAATTATTATTTATTTATTTTTTGTTTGAGGAATTGCAATTGCGTAGTTGGATAAGAAATTAAAATATAAAAAAAAATAGGTATTAAAAATGTTAGACAGATTGGAACTTGTGGCAAAAGGGATTCAAATAAGTTTATCTTACGCTGTTGGTCCCAAGCCCGAATAAAGGAGGAGGGGAGGGCATCGGTTAATCGACAACCGATACTCCGTTCTTACGTCGGATCTCTATGATATTAAAAATGTTAGACAGATAGGAACTTGTGGCAAAGGGGATTCAAATCCCACTAATAATTTTGGGGATCAGTTCTGAATCTGTGAATGTCTGTTGAGTGGGGATTATGCATGTGCTGCTGCTGCATTTGCTCTTTGTTATTATCTTAATTGTATTATAAGCTGTTTAAACTCGATTAGTGTGATGATTAAGCGCGAATGACGTCGATTAGGATGTCGCAGATGTACAAATTGGCTTTATAAAAGGCAGTTTTTCGAGTGCCAATTTGGTAGAAGCTGCATGATCGATGTATTGAAACTTGAAAGAGTTGGTAACTGAAAGCCATTTTGCTCTGGGAGTGGCATATACGCTTGTTCCGATGGATTGGTTGGAAGCCCTTTATAGTTTTTGGAGGAGATTGAACCCCAATGCATCCCACTTCACCTATCTCTGTGCCGTCGAGAAAGGCAAAACCGTACTGAGGCTGTGAGACGTCCACTTTTAAATGTGTATCGACAGCTTGGCATGTTGATATTAGTCGGATTTTGAATGTGTGAAAACCTTTCTGAAGTAGCACTTTTCTTGGGTAAAAACCTCGTAGACCCCTTACTGAATCGACTTAGATCTGTCAAAAACTGTAAGAAGCGGTAAGAATTAAGTTTCAGTCCTTATTGCACAAGCTTAAAGAACACAAAGACATAGTTTGCCGATTTCTGCAGAGAGATGGTGAGGTGATCAAAGTCTTTGCCTTGCGTCGTTTTTGTTTCTTTTTGTGTCTTTTTTATCTTGGAAGCGGAAGAACTATTGAAGCTGCGTGAAACTGTCATAAGGGTTTATGTACAAAGGACAAGCAAGCCCTTCTGGATTGTATCCGAAGATATGGACGCCATGTTATATTATTCTCACACTGTTTAGTCTTCATCGCATTTATGTGGGGAGAGGACACCCCTATGCACGAGTTCAGAAAACCAGGAAACTGCACCGGAACTTCCCTCAAACTATACGTGCGTCCAAACTGATTGTTTCTGTCTGTCATGCTGTGGGAATTACTCTGTTGTGTTGGTTTCACTTATGGAAATATATATGATTAGTTCGATTACGTCTGTCTTCTTGTCTATATTACTCTGTTTGTTCATTCATGGGGGAGCAGCAGGCCCTACGGATGCATGATTAGTCGAATTTGCTGCTGAAGTTGATGTTTTTTCCTCTTGATTTTCCTTGTGTATATTCTTATTGCACCTTCCATGCTGCAGAACCTACATTGTGGGGACAGTGTGACAATAGAAGGCCAAACTTACACAATCTCAGCCGTAACTCATCGGTACCAGCTGCGGAAGGGGAAGTATGAACCGAGCGAGAAGAGGCTCGATGTTTTGTCAACAGCGAGATACATCTTAAATTTGTACCTAGATAATTTGCTAGAACAATCTTGACATCTTTCGTTTAAGTTCCACCCGTACAATCTCAAAATAATTGAACTAGATTGTTCTTTAGTTTCCTCATCACATTCCTTCCCCACCATTTACAGAGAAGGAAAGGAATGTCTATAATATCATCAGAATGCAGAATGTTTCTTTATTTATGCTTCTAGTTTGTATGGAGAATTTTTTTAGTGAGATGTTCATCGTAATGTTACTAATTCACATGCTATAATACAAATTGTTTTTTTCTTCAAAAAGGGACCAAGCGGTGGCTTCACCACGACAGTCTACCCTAGCGGGGAGCCGAGAAGACTCACAGAGGCATTTCGGCGTCCTCCTGGCCACTATATTGTGATTTATCAACGTCAGGAATTGAATTCAGGATGTGTCTTGTGGAATATGGGTTTGAGATTTGTTCCCAACCATTGGACCACTCTGCGGTGGTTCACTTGCTACAATATAATTGATCATGCTGAAATTTCATAATTGCGTATGTTGTAACATGAATGGATCGGTAAGCCACAAGACATTGTGAGTGCCTGATTGAAAAAAATTACTTGTTCGTATGATGAGCATGTGTGGTCAATGAGTTTAAAACTTGTGTCAATATGTCCTGATGCTAATAAGGACGTTAAGATTTCCGAGTTTGAAACAAGTCTCCGCATCCTTTATATCACTCATAAATTTTGGAGAGGAATTCTCTCCCCTCCTATGTCCATCCCCTTCCCTCCCCTCCTCTCACATATTGTTTTTTGTCTTATTGTCTCTATAAAAAAAGATGTTAACGTGACTAAACCGTAACAGTTCAAATAGGAGGGGAGGGAAGGAGAAAGAGATTAGGAAGGGAGAGAATCATCATCCACAAATTTTAATGCGTACCAAAAACGCAAGTCATGTAGTTTACTATTTCATATGTTATAAGGTTAAAAAAAATTACTATTATAATTTAAACAAAATAATAACATTTCGTGACTGTATTATCCGAAAGATTCCTAATACCAATCCTAATTAATCGGAGAAAATTGAAAATGATTTGCCCAAGGCATGTTGGTCCCTACTGGTTAAGATCCTGTCTAAATTCCCTCCTAATAATTACACGTGTCAGAACCAAGTGTCTTGCATCACATAGAGTTTACGGTGCAAAGCATCCATCACTGTCCGGAAGCAATTAGAACCGTCCGATGTCTGATGGGAATCAAAGTTTGTGGAAGTGGGTTTCTCCTGGGACCCACATTTTTTAGGAAAGCATGTTACGTGTATCTGGTCACCATCATGTGGTACCCACTCAACCACCGTGTTTGATGGAAAAAAAGCTACCGTATTTGATAGAAAAATTATCGTATTTACGAGAATAACTTACATAAAATATATTTAGCGCACATGTTTTGAAATACAATGTCAACTTTAAGTTTATCTTCAAATAATATTGTATGAAAAAATTATCGTTTTACAATTACAGTATCTATTTTATATAAGTTGTTATCAACTTCTATGTGCGCTTACCGTCTAGAGTACATAAAATCATCTTAGCCATAATTTTAATGTGCTGAAAATACAGACCGAAACATCAAATGTAATAATATAATTA